TCCGGCGCATATATGAGATTGGGTGTCACGTCCAACACACTAACTTGGATCAGGTACCACGTACCGGTACACTAACAGTTTGGGTATGGGTTCCATGAGAGGACCATTGAATTGGGTTCCACGAGAGAACCATTGATTTGTCATATCTACTAGTTATTGAGAATGTGGAATTGTGCATTGCTCTTGAAATGATAATCAATGTATATATATATATTATGCGCATGTATGTGTTTACCTTGTTGTAATTCTAATATATGTTGTGCTTACTGGGATAGCATCGTGATCCTACCACTACACTGTGGTTGTGTACTAATACTGCACTTGCTCTTTCTTTGTTGAGTATAGGACATCTTCAGGCGGCTACTGACAAACCTTGTTTAGGAGATCAATGATCAAGACCGGATTCAAGGGTGAGCCAGTTCTTTCAGGCTGCCATGAATCCTTCAGTTTTGTTTAGTCCATTCTTTCGGACTCAAACTGTTTAAATAGGGTTGCTTATGTTAGTTCGGGGTTGTACCCCTTTTTCTTAGACTTGTTACACTTTAGATGTTTTGGTACAATGACTTTCAGGTTTTAGGAGTTGTTCTTCCGCATTAGTTTGGCTAGTTTATTTAAGCCTTTGGAGTTTATGGGAACTCTCTATTTTTCTTTTAGACATTTAAACCTGCTTTCGTATCTTTAAATGCTTAGTTTTCGTTAATTTGGTTAGTTGAGTTGTAGTAACGGTTCTCCCACCGGAGGGTTTGTGTGGATGCCAATCACGATGGTCTCGATCGTGACACTTCCACACATATGAACTTAATGTTGACACCCAATTTTGACCCTCCCCGATAATAATTAGTTTTTGAGCTTCTTGATTCTCGAACGATTTAGAATAATTAGCTTTATAAAGTTCCAAATAGTTTCAAGGATTTTAAGTAATCTCAATCGGTTTTTATAGTATTTCGAAATAACAAATAGACTTCATATAATTATATACGTAATTAGTATATTTTATAAATATTTGAAAATCATATCAAAAAGGTTTCTACATTGTTTTAGTAAATACTTTATTAATTTAGTCTAGTATAATTTATAGTTATAATTTTGAGTATTGAAATCGGTTAGTTTATGTTCAAATTAATTATTTTGTTTCGTTTAAAATTTAGAAGCTCGTTAATTAATTTATATTAATTTTAGTGATTAGCCAAGCTTACTAAACTTGATCAATTTGGCTAAGGCCTTAACTTCCATGGGCCATGATTGCAATTTTTTTCAATTTGCCATATTGGCCAAGCCTCATCTCCAATTTTATACCATTTTTGGGCCCAATCTTGCATCAATTGCAGCCCAATATAATGGCAACTAGCAATCCCCAATTCTGTCCAGCATTACAACAGCCCACAACACAACAATACATACACCAGATGACCCCAACGTCTTTCTCCTCCAGCGAACAACGACAAGAAACCCAGAGCTCGTACAGCAGCAGGCAGCAGAGGAAGACACACGCATTTTCCCCCCTTTCCTCTTCCGGAATGGGGTGAAAATTGCAAGAAAAAGGTGTTCGCCTAATTTGGTGAAAGAAATTTTGAAGTTTGAATTTGAATTTGGGCCTTGAATCCGGATTTGAATCTTTTTCCCCCCTATTTTTCCATAAACCTAATTGATCCCCTATATATATTCTCTTCTTATTCACTGTTGGGGGGATTTTTCTTTTGGGGAGAGATTCTTTAATTGAAAATTTTTTGTTAGAGAAAAATATTGAAAAATAGCCAGTGTTTAAAAAGGAAGGAATACACTCAAGAGAAAACTTCTTGAAACCATTTTGGTTCAGTTTTTACTCCCGTTTGCGGCGTTCTGTCCACTCAAATTTCGTCAGAACCTCGCGTAGTAGTGGAAGCTCTCTTGTAATCAGTTTGTTCCTGTCCTGTGATAAAATCAGCACAGCTTGTTACTGATCAATCAAGCTCCTCCATTGATGGAGCTTGAACTCACATGAGAGAAGAAGAAGAAGAAGAAGAAGGAGAAGAGAGAAGAAGAATCTAGAAGAGTTGCATGAAAATTATATTTCATTGAATATGAAAAATTGAGAGAACTGAACATTACAATTGATCATTATATACACACACTTTAAGCTATGAACTAACTAACAACCTTCCTAACTAACTCTGACACACTAACCGTGTTAACTAACATGTGATATAAATGATTTATATCTCAACACCCCCCCTCAAGTTGGAGGTAATTGGATTTACAGACAACTTGTTCAATAATGTAGCATGTTTAACTCCAGTGAGAGCCTTTGTGAGGATATCTGCCAGTTGTGAATCAGTAGAGATGTGATGGAGAGTGATCAAGCCTTGGTGAAGTTTGTCTCTAACAAAATGGCAGTCTATTTCTATGTGTTTAGTCCTTTCATGGAAAACTGGGTTTTTGGCAATGTGGACTGCAGCTTGACTGTCACAGAAAACTTGTATAGGCAAGAGGCATTGTACAGACAACTCAGTCATCAGCCTTTCAAACCAAACCAGCTCCCCTACTACCTGTCTCATAGCTCTGTATTCTGCTTCTGCAGAGGACAAAAATACTGTGGCCTGTTTCTTGGACTTCCAGCTGATAGGGCTATCACCCATGAGGACGAGATAGCCACTGACTGACTTCCTTGAATCAGAGCAAGCACCCCAATCTGAGTCACAATATGCCTTCACTGTAAGATCAGGTTTGTTTGAAATGAATATTCCCATTGTAGGATCTTGTCTGAGGTATTTGAGGACATGATAAGCTGCCTTTAAGTGTGGTTCCCTAGGTGTTTGCATGAACTGGCTTAGGTGCTGCACACTATCAGCTATATCCATCCTAGTGTGTGTTAGAAAATTGAGTTTGCCTACTAACTTCCTGTAATAAGTAGGATCAGAGAGTAACCTTCCATCAGAGGCCTTCAATTTTTCAGTATAGTCAAGTGGTGAAGCAACAGGTTTGCAGTGCAAGGAATCAAATTCCTTTAAGAGATCAGTAGTGAACTTTCTTTGAGAAATGAGAACCCCATCATGCCTGTATAATATCTCCAAGCCCAGGAAATAATGAAGTCTACCTAAATCCTTTATTTTAAACTGATCATTCAGAAAAGACTTTAGAGAGTTGATCTCCTCCAGATCAGTCCCAGTCAGAATCACATCATCAACATAGACAGCAACAAAGACCAAAGAACTTCCCTTCTTTTTGTGAAACAGTGAGTAATCACTATGTGAATGTATGTACCCCCTAGAACAAAGACTGCTGGACAACTTATCATACCATTGCCTACTAGCCTGCTTTAAACCATATAAGGATTTCTTTAATTTGCACACCATGTTTGGGCAGTCCACTGCAAGACCTGGTGGTAATGTCATGTATACTTCCTCAGTCAAATCACCATGAAGGAAGGCATTGTTAACATCTAACTGATACAAGCCCCATCCTTTCTTAACAGCCAGTGTAATCAAACTCCTAACAGTAGTCATCTTTACTACAGGAGAGAAAGTTTCATTGTAATCTATACCAGCCTGTTGAGTGTACCCCTTAACTACCAGTCTTGCCTTAAACCTTTCTACACTACCATCAGCCTTGTGCTTGATTTTGTACACCCACTTACAACCAATGGCCTTCTTATCCTTGGGTAGAGGGACTAAGTCCCAAGTATTATTAGCATATAGAGCTTCAAATTCTTGTGTCATAGCCATTTGCCAGGCAGGATGCAAGATTGCTTCTTCATATGAAGAAGGCTCACAATCATGAGAGATGGTTTCAACTAACTGCTGGCTATCAGAACACAAAGTGGTAAAGCAAATGCTATCATGGTTGGTTAGAAATGATGTAAGAGAAAGGTGAGGATCAGGTGCAGGTGTGGAGGAATGCAAGTTGGGTAAAGTGTATTTAAATTCTTTGAGGTAGTTGGGTGTATGAAGTGATCTGGTGGTTCTCCTAAGAGTAGGTGGGGCACCACGTGGTGAAACTGGTGTGTTTTGCATGGTAGTGCTTGTTGTGTGTTCATTTATATTAGTAGATGTTTGGATATCAGGGACTGTATTAGATGTTGTATCTGCTGCTGTTACTTCAGTAGTAGTGACTTCATATGGCATGTTAATATTTAGAAAGTCATCATTAAAGAAAGTGCTAGTTGTACCAGGCATGTAAGTTAGAGTTTTGGGATGATGGACAAGACACTTTAATACAGATGCAAAACTAGAATTATCAGGAGCAATGACAAAAGGGAAGACAGACTCATGAAAAGAAACATCTCTGCATACATGAACTCTCTTGGTAACTAAGTCCAAAACCTTTTAACCTTTTGTATTGAAGGGGTATCCAACAAAGATGTGTGGTGTTGCCCTTGGCTCAAACTTATCTTTGTGGGTTTTCAAGGTAGTGGGAAAACATAAGCATCCAAAACTTTTAAGGTGAGAGTATGTAGGAGGAGTTTGATATAACATCTCATAAGGGGATTTGTTCTGTAGAATCTTGGAAGGTAATCTGTTAACAAGGTATGTGGCTGTTAGAACACATTCTCCCCAATATCTCATGGGCAATTTAGACTGAAATAGGAGTGCCCTTGCAATTTCAAGGAGATACTTGTGTTTCCTTTCAACTACACCATTTTGTTGAGGTGTGTAGGGACAAGATTTTTGATGGATTATACCTTTTTCTTGGAAAAAATGGGTGGCTTCATTAGAGGTAAATTCTAGGCCATTATCAGACCTGATGGTTTTCAGCTTAGTCTGAAATTGGTTTTCAACAAGTGAAACAAAAGCCTTAATGGTTTGCAAAGCATTGCTCTTACACCTAATCAATTGTGTCCAGGTTGATCTAGTGTGATCATCTACCATGGTTAGGAAATAGTGAAAACCATCATGAGTTGGAATGTGGTATGGCCCCCATAGGTCAATGTGAAGTAACTCAAAAGGCTTAGTGGTGGAGGTCGTGCTTTCTGGGAATGGCATTCTTGTCTGCCTAGCCATAGGACATATGGTGCAGGTGAAAGGTTATTTGGTAGAGAAATGACAAGGGATAGTGGAGATGCCCTTCATTTTCACAAAAGGTACATGGCCTAGTCTAGTATGCCACAAGAGATCATTAGTATAAGTGCTATCAGAATTAACAGCAAAAGAAGAACAATTTGCAGTAGAGTAGGAAGAAGAATTAAAAACAGAACAACCCTCTTTATTGATAGGAGAAAAACCTTTTACAGTAGAGTAATGAATGTTTGGAACTGGACTACTAGTACATTTAGGTAAACGAGTAAAATGACTTGAAATGACATGAGGGTCCTTGGTGCCATCAGGAGAAGAAACACAGTTGTGGCATTTTGTACACAAGAAATAGAGGCCATTTTGTGCTCTACCAAGTTCCAGAGGGCTCTTCAGAGAAGGGCCCTGCAACAAGCAAGAAACACTATTAAAACTGACTATACCTTTAAGTTGTAATGCTAGACAATGAACTGAGATGAGATTGAATTTGAAACTAGGTACAAATAGAACTTTCTGCAATGTTAGGACTTGATTTAAACATACATCACCAATTTCAGTCACTTTAACTTTGTAACCATTAGGTAAGGAGATGAGAAATGGATATGGTAGGGTTCTAATATTTGTCAGAATGGCTTTGTTATATGTCATGTGATGTGATGCCCCTGAGTCTATGATCCAAGAACCAGCAGTTAATCTAGTACATCTATAAGAAAGGTCACCTATCTCAGTAATGGAAGAATAACAAGCAAGTATACCTGCCAAGTTCACAGCTCCACTTAGCATATTGTCTGAGTTGGAAGCTTCATGTCCAGCTTGTAAAGATCCCAAAAGGTTCAATAGTTGTTCATACTGGTCTTTGGACAGATTAAATGGCATTTGCTTCCTTAACTCAGGATTGTCCTCATAGTGGATTCCATCAATCTCATTGCTGCACACATTTGCCATTGCAGAATTTGAACCTTTGCCTTTAGAAAATTTGGAGTTGGGTGGATATCCATGAAGCTTATAACATCTTTCCCTAGTGTGACCTGATCTCCTGCAGAAATCACAAAACAAAGTAGACCTGCTGGTACTAGAGTTCCCTCTAATCATGTTGGTGTTATTCAGGTTTCCAGTGTTGCCTGTATGTCCCTTAGAGGAACTATAGTTGGTTCTGAGACCTTTCACTCCTGCATTGTTGTGAGTTGAAGCAAAAACATTTAGGGAAGTGGAATCTAAAGCAGTGTGGTTGTGAGGCTTCACTTCTCTCTGTTTTTCTTCTTGGGACAATATGGCAAAAGCTTGAGCCATGCTAGGTAGAGGGTTCATCATGAGAATGTTGCCTCTAATGGCAGTATACATCTCATTTAGCCCCATTAGGAAGTGTATGAGTCTTCTATCTTGCTCAGCCTTGATCAATTTGACTTTACCCCCACAAGTGCACACACAATTGCACTGAGAGCTCATATCAACTGTGCTCATTTCTTCCCAGAGCTTTTTCATCTTCGTGTAATACCCAGTGACATCCAAAGTGCCTTGAACAAGATCATTGATTTCTTTCTGAAACTGATACAATTTACAACCATTGGTCTGGTCATATCTTTCCTCCAATTCAGCCCATAATTCATGGGCATTGTTAACATACTGCAGACTATCTCTTAGATCAGGTGATAAGGAGTTCAGAATCCAAGAGGTTACCATGTCATCACACCTTTCCCACTGTTGGAAACTAGGATCATCTAGATTTGGCTTTACTACTTTGCCATTGATAAAACCTGTTTTACTCTTAACAGACAAGGCTCTAAGAACAGCTCTCCTCCATGATCTATAACCAGTGCCATCAAAAACTCCAGGCAATAGAGATGAACCTGCATTCTCGGAAGGATGCAGATAGAAGGGACTGGTAAAATCCATCCTAGCAGTGGATGTAGAACCAGTCGAAATTGGATCAACTTGATTGTCATCCATGGTGAAATCAGATCGCGATACAATTTGAGTAACAACAGAAACTCAAAATTGAAACTCAAAAAATTTTTTGAGAACGAAAAACTTTGAAAACAGAATCGAGAACAGGAAGAGGAACTCAAAATTCAAAGCATGAACTCGACATCAATATTCACAGTGCAACCTCTTCGAAAGAGAAAATAAGAATCACAGATGTGGATGCGGAAAAAGGAGCAGGATCTATGTCCATCGCTCTGATACCATGATAAAATCAGCACAGCTTGTTACTGATCAATCAAGCTCCTCCATTGATGGAGCTTGAACTCACATGAGAGAAGAAGAATCTAGAAGAGGAAAATTATATTTCATTGAATGTGAATTAAGAAAACTGAACACTACAATTGATCATTATATACACACTTTAAACTAGTAACTAACTAACAAATTCTCTAACTAACTAACTGTGGAAGAAGAAGAAGAAGAAGAAGAAGAAGAAGAAGAAGAAGAAGAAGAAGAAGAAGAAGAAGAAGAAGAAGAAGAAGAAGAAGAAGAAGAAGAAGAAGAAGAAGAAGAAGAAGAAGAAGAAGAAGAAGAAGAAGAAGGAGAAGAGAGAAGAAGAATCTAGAAGAGTTGCATGAAAATTATATTTCATTGAATATGAAAAATTGAGAGAACTGAACATTACAATTGATCATTATATACACACACTTTAAGCTATGAACTAACTAACAACCTTCCTAACTAACTCTGACACACTAACCGTGTTAACTAACATGTGATATAAATGATTTATATCTCAACATCCTGATTCGCTGCTCATCAAAAGGTATACGGCTCCTTACTCTCTTATTCACTTAGTTTCTGGTAGATGCTTGGGATTTGAGTCATGTTAGGTGTGGGTATGATGCGAGTGTTTGGGTACAAATGATGGGAGGTCTATTCCTTGCTTGCTGCTGTTTTTCCTGAAATTTTCAAGTTGTATGTCGTATCTGCTACTGTTTTGAGTTCTTGGATTGTGTTCATCACTGTTCGTTTGGTTATCTACTTGATCATTTTTTTTGTCGGGTTTTATTTCGAAGAGAACACTTAATTTTTCTTTCTCCAGGTTGCATATGCCCTGTTTCCCAGCTTTTCTCTGCAAGTTTGCCTTCTAATGTTCATCTTTTTATCCCTTAAAGTGTTGTGTTTTGGAGTTTCGTATGCCATGCCATTGCTTGGGAACGCTTAAACCTTATGCATCCTAAACTCTTTAACTCATTATTTTTAGATTAATGTTTGAATAGGTTGAGATAGGATACATCATTAACTCGAAGAATATGGTTGCCCGTTTGTTTAAATAGGGGTCCGATTTCATCTATTTTTATCTTCAAAATCTGATTCGTGTCATCTCTGTTTTAAAGTGAATCTGTCGTAGTAATTTCTCCTTCCTAAAAATCCCTCTCGTTTGGTTTTGCCATTTGCCGTATACTTAGAGTTAGATTTAAATCGCAACATATACTTTGAATCATGATTTTCTATGTAGATTGATCGCCTAAGTTAGAATTTGGAAACTCATATGTGGTGCTCCTATTCATTGAACCCGTTTGACTATTATCGGTCACGTCATAAGTTATTACGATAAAAACTTTCAACCTACTGCATTTGTCCTAATTTTCTCTATCAGTACCCTTTGTTATGTGTCCATATTCTCAACATGTGTGCGAGTTTGTTTCGTTCAAAGGCATTCATCTAAGTTCGGACAATGTTTGGTCAGTAGCTTGGTTACTTTTCCTCTAGCGATCTTAGTTGGATTAATAATAAGTTATTATTTTTGGATTTTGAATTTGGGTTAGTGTTGATGCCATTTATGTTATTGCCTACTGTCAAGTTTTCTTTGTGAATAATGATTTTCCATTGTAAATTGAAATTGTTTTATCTCATGATCTAAATCATGCTTGGGTTTTTTTTTTTTTTTTTCTTTTAAAATAATAATAATTTAATGTCTGAACAATAGTGCATGGTTTTCTTTCTTTTTACTTAATGCTTTCCGTTATGGCCATGATTTGTTACTTATTTTCTTTTATTTTGTTTCGTTAATGTTACATGTGAATGCCGTTGGAATCCATTGGACTCCCTCTCCTTGCATTTCGCGGATTGGGCCTTACGGGCCCAATTCTATATTTTATCGAGTCCAAAACAACCGACGAACAGGTCGCATGCAGCATAGGAGCTGGAAATTCAATTTACAGATTCTGGGAAGCTAAAATCAGGCTGTATACAGCCGTATACACTGATATACATGGCAGAAATAGCGATGTACAGGTCCAAAAAAAAGAAATGCAGGTTGCAGGGGTCAAAATAGACTGTATACGTTCGACATACAGTCCGATATACACAAAAACGGGTCAAAATATGACCCATATACAACAATATACCTTTGCTGTATACACAGGTGTTTGAGAGCGAAAATGGGCTGAAGGAGGCCCAAAAACGCAGCAAAGGCCCAAATTCAATTTTCTTGCCTATGCTTTGTTTTATTCGTTCAACTAACGCTTTCATTTCTTATGGTTAAATTTAATTAAACCCCCAAAGATAGTTATTTCTCTTTTATATTTTTAAATAAATATTCCTTCATATAGTTTATTTACTTAGCTTTTATTTAATTTTGGTCTTGTTATCTCCTTAAGTCATTTCCCTTAGAAAAATTCCCCTTTAGTTCATCCCCCTTTAAGATGATAATAATAAAAATAATAATAAATATATATAAAAAGAATGGTCATAAATGAGTTCTTTTACTTATTTAAAATTTCAAAAAAATTAGTTAAAATAAATGAGTCCTTTTACTTATTTAAAATTTCGAGAAAAAAAAAAAGTTAGTTAAAATGAGTTGTTTTACCTAGTTAAAATTTCAAAAAGTTAGTTTAAATAAATAAGTTTTTTTTTTACTTGGTTAAAATCTCAATAAAAGTAGTTAAAATAAAATGAGTTCTTTTACTTAGTTAAAATTTTAAAATTAGTTAAAGTCGTTAGAAGTTCTTTTACTTAGTTGAAATTTCAAAGTTAGTCAAAAATCATTTTTTGTCAAATCGCCGGTCAACCGCAAGTTAGCGGGCATTCCGAGGGCCTAACACCTTCTCGGAATGTACATTGAACTTCGAACCCTGTTTCAATCGATTTTATCTGTTTTAAGTCTTTTGAAAAAACTTGCATTTTTCTTGATTTTTTACTAAAAATTAAGTGGCGACTCTATTCTTTTGAAAATTCGATTTCTCTTAAATCATAAGTTTAATCGATTTTTCGAAAACTCAGTCATTTTCCCTTTGTATATCTTTTTAAATAAAACACTTAATTCAAGACTAAACGTGTTTAATTATGGGAAGTAATGCTTAGCATCGAGTGGTTATTTAATATGAGATAGAGGCTCTCCCGTTTAGTAAGGCTGGGTTTCCAAAAGAAATCTCATGAGATGGAGGCTCCCCCGTTAAGCAAGGTTGGGGTTTCTAGTAACAATCTCTTTATCCCATAACTATGTGCTCCCATAAGTTATTTAGCTAGAGGATCCACCTAAAAGCTAACAAGTCATGGTCTTACCTTAGGCAAGTAGGGCACCCCTTTTCGGTGTGGGCAACACCAGATTCCATGTTAAGCTCACATAGTCTATGTCGGTTAAGGCTTATTCCCACCATGACAAGGATATGAACAAGAACATGAATTATGAATGATGGTTACTCAATAAGCTTTACTTAGCTTGGGTAGGATTATGGGATCTTATTCATGCATTGCACAAGTATGCTTTGAGGGTACAAATGGTATGGTTCTCTTATGAGCATTTATGTAATGAACATGCTTATGACTTATGCTCTTCCATTATCTTCTAAATGATGTTTTAACTTACAAATTGCATGCATTTAACTAAAATGCCCCCTTTTAGCATGTTTTCATGGTTTTATGCATGACTTTCATACTTGGTGCATTTTTGTACTAACCTATATTTCTTTTAGATTTTTCACAAAGTGTAGGGTCCAGTTCTTAAGGCGATCTTCATTTGATACAAGCTTGGATTAGACTATTCTCCTTGCTTGTGGTGAGTCCTCAAGATTCGAGGACGGATGTTCATTTTGAGTGTCATCTCTAGTATTTCATTTTCGAACCATGTTGTATGGGATATGCCCCTTTCATTTGAACTATTGTAATAGATGGCTAATTGAGACTAGTCTAGACTTCCTCTTTCCTTTATAAAAATATTTGGACTTAAATGTGTTTTACTCTTTATTGTTCTAATGCCTTATGTTATGAGATGCTAAGTGGCTTACATGGTGCCCTTGGGGGTATTATGTGCCTTGTTACGTCTAGGGGATACCCTTGGGTCATGACAAACTCATCTACTATATAAGTAAACAGACAGTTATACGAATATATGATTTATTAATTTTTTTTTATCAAAACTAAATAAACAATTGTTTTATAATAAATACTATATGTAAACACATGGTTAATAATATAAATTTCATGGTTAAAAGTATATATCTCAACAATCTCTTACTTTGACTTTTAACCATCACAATTATTATACAGTCCTATATCTAAATGCATGATTAATAATAATATACACCCTAACAATCTCCCACTTAAATTTTTAATCCTAAAAATTATTAAAATGTTATATCTAAACACATAATTAATAGCATATACCCTAACATTTACTTCCTCTCAGAAGACCAAATTACAATTATGTTTTGAGAAATTGAGACTGATCATTTGAAGAAGTCATTCATTCCCCCACTAGTACTACAAAAATTGACAATCACAAATTGACGATATAATGTTGAACACTAATCAATACCTATTGACTGCATAACAATGAAGCCACGTGTCTGTTGTATTTAGCGTCAGACTTATAGTTCTATCCTTTTTACCAGGTTTACAATTATTTGCTTTAAATAACAGTTGGGTTAAGAATTTGATTTGATATAAAATATTATTTTATATAATTAAAATATTTGTATATCTCTAGATTGTAAAAAGAATATGATATTGTGGTGTATCAGAATGAAAAAGGTTCAAATGAATCAAATTGGATATCACAAATTCATATAACTGATTCTAACTTATACACATAAAATAAAATGTGATAAGAAACTTTTTGGTTTCTTCCCTTGCTTTTCATGGTGAAAAACTTATTATTAGTTTTTCCAGTAAACTAAGCAATTAGACAAACATTCATGACTGAAACGAACAAAACATCGTTCTTCTATCGTATATAGTCGATCAGTTAATAAGATCTTCATCATTTTTTGGCCTCTGAATCTCCTCCCCATTGTTTTATCCTGTGTCCAACAAGGGAAACCTGTATTGGATATGACCCAAAAAATAATAAAAAATTACAATCAAGTCACTTATAAGATAAATAGAATTAGTACGTTGGAATAAACTTTTACTTGTCACATATATATATATATATATATAATTTATTCTTGATGTATGCCTTACCTCCTTGTTCCAATTAGTTCGAAGGATCATCATGATTAACACGCCAGTTTGAACAGTCGTACCTGCAAGCATCCCAAACCAAATTCCCTACAAAATTTCATGAACAAACATGTATTAATTAAATAATATAATGTCTTAGGATTTTTTTATTTATTTTTTAATTAAGTGAAGACAAAATAAAAATAAAAATTGTACCTTAACGCCAATGTCAAAGAAGAAGCCAAGTATGAGACCTATTGGAATACCAAACAAATAGTAACAAGCTATGTTCACATATGCAACATAAGCTTGCCACCCTGCTCCAATAGCCACCCCTACAATTGCAACAAATTAAATGACAAATCTTTATTTTAGACCATCAACCACGTCTTAATTCTAAACTAGTTGGAGTCGATTAATACATAAAACTTTTGATTTATTACACAAAAGTATCCCATCAGCAACTCATCTTACATAATATCGACATTGACACTACTTAAAAGGTCCACGATATGTGCCACATTTATATGAGAGACACTAGATATACCATGTAATATATGCCTATACTTACCTAAGTCTTTTATATTCTTTCCATTATATCGATCGATCAATAAAAAATAATTGTATAAAAAGATCAAAACTAAAGAGTAGAAGATAATAAGTAAGTACCAGAAAGAGTAGGTTGAAGACATCCAATAACAATGGTGGTTGCTAAGATAGGAGTGAGGTGATAGACAAGTTGTTGTACTTGTTCATTGTTTGAAAAGAAAGGAGGATACCAACTCCGGCAAACGAGTAGAATCATCGAGAGGAAGATGCCGGATAATAAAGAAGTGATGGAAGCTACAATTACTGAGAATTTCGCGCTTCTTGGATGCCCTGCTCCTAGTTCATTTGACACCCTTACGCTGTACGTTAACGTTTGTTACTTGCTTGCTATAATAACAACATTTAGAATTTACATTACCTTATTGCGGCATTGAATCCAATCGCTACCATAACTGTCCACCCTTGGATATTCATGCTGCAATCAAGTAGTACGTAAAATCGTCAAAATAAAAAATAATTAATTTATTAATATCAAATCATCTAAATGATAACTGCACTTAATTAATTGTTCAAAGGAATTAAATTAGTTACTATAAACTTTGCATGTACTCATCACTTTTCTAATATAAGTGCTCCCCTCATGAGAACTATACGATCTAGACGACATATAATTAATATAAGTTCACACTCAAACTTAGAAAATTGCTTCCAGTCAACGATTTATTAAGTATAGCATAATTATTAAACAGAAAAAAATTTCTTATCACCTTTCGCTCTATAACTATATATGTTGCTGGAACTTTTCAAAAATATAGCTACATTCATATCAGATCCTTTAAAATGTATTATTTTTAGAGTATACGATACGATACGCACACATCGATATTTTTAAAGAGTTCTAAATAATTGCCATGTTAGAAGGATCGGGGTATATGGATTCATGCCAAATTAACGAAAGCATTTCAATACTTTCAATTTGTTTATATGATTTTTTATTTGAAACATTTTTTTTTTTGAATTTTGTGGTCTTAAATTAAAAATATGTAAAATATATATATCAAAATATTATTTAATTTTATAATCTTAAATATGTCTGATATAAAGTTAAATTTATATATATATATATATATATATAAAGTGATATTTATTTTTAAACAGATTAAATCAATTCGACAAATAAATTGAAATAAATGTAAACTCACCAAATAGCAATTGCATCGACGGCCACTTCAGCATTCTTGAGGTATCCAGCAAAAAGAATTAGTGCCATGAAGTACCATATCTCTAAGCTGCAATAAATAATAAATATATCTTGAGATAGCCTAATTAGCTACCATAATTTTAGCACATCTTGTGACAGATAGATAATCTTTAATACTCCCACAATCACATTTTAATTAAAGGAAATTTCAAAAATAGCTAAGACTAGAAACATAGTCAGATAATTAGCTATAATTTATTTAATTATAACAATAATAATAATAAGTAAGAGTAATAATAGTATAGTAATTGTAATAGTAAAATAATTAGTAACGTACATTTTATTTTAATAAGATATAGAATTTCCGTTTAAGCTATTTCAAAAAGTTATTATACATTCAAATTATTATGGTGATCTATTACACATTTATATTACTTAAATAAATATATTCCACCACCAAATATTATTATCATTACAAATTTCGTTCAAGCTCAAGAACAAAAATAATGAAAAATAAGAAATCAATTAGTGAAAAATTAACTCCTTTACACACTTTTTTTTTCTTTTTAATTATTTCGCCACATCAGCTTCTGGGATGAAAATAAACTCAATTTTAAATAATATATGTGTAATAAACTAATATATATTTCCTCTGTCCAATAATAGTTGTCCATTATTAACTTGGCATATCCCTTGAGAAATAATAAATAATAGAGATAATACTAGTACTATATTATTCTTTGATTTTATTAAATTTAATGCTTTGAAAAATGTGTTAGATGATAAATAATATTTAATAACAAGAATAAAATAGACACAAAATAAATTATTTCTTGATTTTCTAAATTGAATAAATATTATTGAACAACTATATTTAGTATAGTGAACAATTATTGTTGAACGGAGGGAGTAATAATTTAAATGTGTAATTGATTTTTGAGAATTTGAAGAGTATCAGTGTTATTTATGTCACATAGATAGAATATATTCTTGATATGCAGTAAGATTCTTTTATTGCCAATCATATTGTTACACGTAGGTCAAATAACTCAATTACCTCTATTGTAAACCCTCTTTATGTAAGTGAAAATAACTTTTATATAAGTAGGTGTGCATCTGATTTTTCAGTTTGGTTTTGCATTATTCGGTTTGGATTTTTCGATTTTTGGTTTTGTAAAAGTGTAATTCAAATCGATCCAAAATAAATTTGGTTTGATTTGGTTTTCCTCTATTCGGTTCGGCATTTTTCGATTTGGTTATTCGGTTATGTCAATAATTAATAATCTAATCAAAGTAATAATATTTAATCCCTTAAATATACTTTCTAATATAAATCATAAGTAAAACTTAAAATACAATACTTATAGACTTATAGTATTATAGATGTAATTCAAACATAAAATATATATAAACGTAATCATCATGAAAGGCAATAACCAAAAAGAGACAAAAGTGGTTAACTCCAACTTAATTCTAAACCTAAACATTATATATACATATATATATATATATATATATATATATAATTCGATTTTTTTTAGTTTTTGATTTTTATTTTTTAAAATTCGAAATCAAACCAAAAAACCAAACAAAGTAATTTATTAATCCAAAATATTTCCGAAAAACCAAAAAATCAATCCAAATAAAAATTCAGTTTGATTTGATTTGATAATTCGATTTAATTCGAATAGTTCACACCCCTATTTATCAGTGAAAATAACTTTAGTAATGAATAATGATTGTGTAGTTTAATAAAACACATGCTTTTCCAAATCAACATTTAGAATATCAGCGAAAGGACAGACGTAGACTCCAACAAAATGTTACTCCGTCCGTTTCAAAGACATCTTTTTTTTTTAGTCTGTTGTAAAAAAAAAAAATTCTTTCCTTTTTTTTATAATATTTTAATTTCAACTTCTCACGTGACATGTTTAAGGTCACAAGATTAAAGGGTAATTTAGTACATTTGACATAACTTTAATTTAGGATCACAAAATTCAAAAGTCTTTTTTATTTTCTAAAACTCTGTGTCAAGCCAAATTAGATCACTCTTTATGAAACGGAGGGAGTAATTTCAATGGGCACACATCTTGACGGCTTATATGTAAGAAGAAAAAATAAGAGAAAAAATGTTATAAAAAATAATAATTTAATTTTAAAATGTTCATTTTATCTTCTTTTTTTTTTTTTTTTTTTTGGTTTCCCTTGTCATCAAAAAAAATAATAATAAAATGTTCATTTTATCTTTAATGAGATAATTTATAGTCACACAAATATCTATTATTTATTTTAGATCACAAGTTTCAAAAGTCATTCTTTCTTTCTTAAACTTCGTATCAGATCAAACTAACTCATATAAAATGGAATTTGAAGAGTAATTTTAGATATTTAAATTAAGTTGTTAACTATTGCAATTTATAGTTTTTTTTTAATGTAAATCTCGAATATTATATGAAGTCTCTTTGTCTCAAATTATGTGGCAATGATAGATTTTTATGTCTTTAAGTTTTTAAGTGTTAATTATTGTTACTTATAGTACATTTTATGTTGTTTTTAAGTAATGTATGTTACTTACTCTGTTCTAGTTTATGTTACACATATGAAATTTTTAGAATCAATCAAAATTTCACGTCTTTTAAATTTTTTAAACAGTTGATTATTGTGATTTATATTACATTTGAAGTAAATTTTAAATAATATATGTTTTTCTCTGTCCCAATATATATGCACGGATAGAATTTCAAGAACTATTTAAATTTTTTTATGTCTTTTAAGCAGATTCAATTAAGTAATTTTAAATTTTTATTTGAAATAAGCTATATATATTTGTGTGGTATTAAATTATTTATCTAAAACAAATTATGTAGATGTATTTATATGATTGTAAATCATCTCATTAAGTGATAAATATTTATAAATATTATTAAAATTGTAAATTTTAAGTAATGTTAATTAAAATACTTATAAAATAAATTATATATATTTGTGCGGCAATAAATCATTCCTATTTTTTTAAATGAAATTTAAAGGAAAAAAATACTTTAATAAAGTAACTCCTAATTCCTAAAATATCCTTACGGTAGAAAGCTAATTTACTAAGGTAATAAAGTAACGGTAATTAATACCCTTACGATCGGAAGTTGCTCTGCTATTGCCTTACATATAAGTAGTAAAGTACTCTTCCGCTTCAATTTGCTTGTCTTAGTTAATATTTTGAATTGTTAAACCTTAAAATGAGCGTTGGAATCAGAATTTTTTACTAAGTGGGTTCAAAATCGAAAGGAGTAAATACACTGTTGGTTTATTAGCATTTTAATATTAATATTTTGTATATTAATTTGTTAAAACTTAGTATAGCCTTTCTGCTATGAAGATGGAATAGAGGACGTGGGAGTTACATGCATTTGTACCTCATTACTTAGTGGTCAATTAATGACCATAGGCATTATGCACTTTGTTGCTTTCTGTGAACGTTGGAAACTTGGCCGTTGTGCAAGTGCACGTTAGAGGCATTGGTTACCCCTCTCATTATTCCATTCTTTACTCCTCCATTATCCTTGTAACCTATGTAACTCCTAAAACCATTATCTTCACTATTTACTACACCATTATCTTCCTATTCATTGCTAGGAAGACTTCTTCTACTATAAATAGTGATGGTATTCATTTGGTTTGGGAGAGATATACAATACATAAGAAAAAGATAGAGAGGAAAAAGTTTGTCAAAAAGAGAGTTCTTATTAGTTGAAGGGAGGTGTTCTTTTTGTGGAGCTTTGGACTCAACTCTTGTCCAGAGTTGTTGAGTTATATTGTAATCTTGTATTTTTGTTATCTTGTAAGTTTTCACTAACAATTTTAAGGAGATTCTAGATGGCTACAATTGAAAAAAATGCGGATGTCAAGATGGGAGACCTTAACAAGCCATTTCG